TTCTCTTGAATTGACCATGGTATACCTACTTTAAGTGTCCCTATGGTAGATGCTTTACTACTTGGCATGCTGCCACAGTCAAGGTTCAATGACAGAAAAGCTCTGATGATGATAAAAGGAGCCCAGCTTCTAAAATGCATCAATAATTCATATAGAATTTGTTTGTGCGTAGGTTGACTTGTGTTTTGTACTCCATTGCCTCAGATACTGACTTGTTTTTTATTTTAAAAGGCTTTGAAGTTCTATACTGGTGCCTGAGATGTGTAATTACATTTGGATAAATCTACAGATTGTGTCCTGCTTTAGTTTGCACCTAATAAAGTAGCGTCCACTAAACCAGCCTTACCAAGTCGAAAATGAATCCTGCTGCGAGTTTTAAATGTTTAACACACAGGACAACGAACACTGAAATATAAAAAGGTTTCGCTTTGTTGACCCTGACAGAGGTGCCTTATGTCAACCTCAAACTTCACAGATTTTGTATTATATTTATACACTGTTTTTGCATCACCAACAGTTCACACGAAAACACAAATGTAACATGTTAGCATGAAAGCTCAGTCTTAACCCAGACTTTGACCCCTCACATATTAGTGAAATACTGTCTTACTATTCCGAATGTATACACGTAATCTTGTAAGATATTAATGATGTTGTAGGAACAATAGTCAGAGACACAGTTCACCCCCAGAGTAAATGGGAAAACTCTGTTTCTGAGCAACACGCTGGTTAAAGATTTATGTGACTTTTGCCACAAACTTGGTTATCAGTAATGAGGAAAGAAGAGTGACAGAGCACCATAAAGTCTCCCAACTCACCTCACATCCTCAACCTTTCAAAATACCTCCAGTTTTAATATTTGCTCCCATGCTTAAGCGGAACCATTTTAGTCACTGCAGCTGTCCGGCACAATTGACTACATCCAGTTAATGCCCCCTTATCTCTCTTGTACACAAATGTAGTCAATTCACAGGAATTCCTACTCGCTTTTCAATATTTATATTCAGGAAAAATTGCAGGAAAGGAGGTTTGAATGTAGAGGAAGTAAGGAGGAAAGAACCCAATTCTGAAATATGCATGAGTGCACTTACACTTTGCAGCACTGGGCTTTTTAACATGCACTGCAGCTCTGTGAGGAAACATGGGGAGGCTGAGTCACCGTGAGGAGAAGTGGGCCAAAATTAAGGAACAGAAAAGTGACATTGAGATGTATCCTGACATTCCTACTCCTTCTTTAATACTGTAGTAAAGGTATTTGGTTGTAGGATTCAAATCAAAGAACAAGTGATTGATTTCAAATGTATTTGTGCATGTTGCATTGTAGACTTTTAGAATACAATAAGTTTAAAATTAAATATTTATTGTATTTTTCTACAAAATACCTGTAAAAAGAAAACCTATATCAGATTTTTTTTTTTTACCAACATTAAACCCAGTGAGAAGGAGGTGGTTTTTGCTTTTCTACTTTAGATTTAATTTAAATTGATGTTAGAGCTGGGGCTTGATGGTAATGTGTTCTGATCAGTATGATAATGGGGTGCTGGTATTATCATAGATATTAAAAAAGTGGAGCATGAGCAGCCAGGTCACTCCGCACTATAATCTGTTCTTCACTTATGTCAGAGTCCAGTTAATATATATGCAAGTAACATACTTTACTGAGCATGGACCTCTACGTTTATACTTTGACTCTACAAGCACAGGTACATTAAAATGACCCTCTGGTTTGACTTTCCATCATGCCCTCATCGGAAGCACCAAGTCATGGAGAAACTCACTTTTTCTTTTATGATTTGGTCCTTGGGTTAAGATTAATTTGATTTGGAAACCAGATCAGTCAACATTTGCATTTAATATGAAAAGCCAACAAGTACCACAAAGGCCGGCAACGAGATCCTTGATATAAATTGGAGCTTGCAGCCCTGCAGCTATGTTGACGATATGAAGGTCCAATTTTGTATTCAAGTTTCCTTTCTATTTGAATAGTTAAACAGTTGAATGGTGCAAAGATATTCATAAATGTGAGGACTGAAAGACCCAGGGCTGAAGTACTGTGGTTAATTTGGACCTGCTGATGGTTTCAGGGATACTTCACCTTGATGAGGGAAAATCCTTAAAAACTTTTCTATGTAGTACTTAAGCCCGTATCCTGTTCCCTTAAGCCTACTTGCACACTTTGCATTCAAATCAGCCTCAGCAGTGAATTAAAAAACTGATTTTTAAAAGGGTAACACTTCTGCGTCCAGTTTCTTCAAGATGGAGCTTAAATGTGCTGCTTAATAGATCATTTACACTTTCCAGTTGAAGCAAACACTCAGTGATTTGTGAATAGCTCCTTATCGCCTTCTTTCTCACATTATGTCAGTGAAATATAACTACAGAAATTAGCTGGATGTTGCCATGGGGGCAAAAGTGGGCGTGTACCAATCGGAGGCTCTGGGATTTCATATTAACAATGTATGGATCCTTGGGAAAGATACTTAACCCTAAAGGCATGTAATATAATGTAAGCATTTTATCCAGCCAAAAGGTCAAATGTTGTAGTATTAAGTCAGCTAATCCGCAAATGCGAGTTCATATGTATGAGTCATGGTTGTAAGTGTGTTGCTGATAAAGAGGCAACACTGATAATGTGTCCGACAGTAAACACAAAGAAAAAGACAGGATGTGTTAAACGCATTATGCAAAAGTGGAAAGATTGGGTTTAATTCGATTATAGGAATGCCATTCAGAATTTACCAGTTGATTTTAAATTCAATTTAGGTGAACAAAATGCAACAGAATACAATTGAAATGTTATCTTTTGTATCTACAAGCATAGTGCTACAGCCACCAGCAGAAAAACCTGACCATTTATCTTATTTAAGATATAAATAAGTAATGATTGTTTGAAGCTCCCTACAAGTTTCTTGTCAAAGTAGGCCAAGTATTCAACAATAAAAACAGCAGTTGCTTTGAGCCAAGCATTCTATAATAGAGGAGTGTACAAGGAAGGAGGCAATAACATACTCCATTTCAGAATAATACAGAATAAAGATGGACTATAAGTGATTTGGAAAACTCTTCAGTCAGCCTTACATTTCTTTTTTTCAGAGCGCTGCCTTAAAATGTTCAGCCACTTTAGAAGTCCTGTTAGTCTTTTGACAGCAGGTAGAAATCTGTAACTTAACAGTATGACCTGAGTGTATCCGTCTGACAGACAACTCCGCACACAAAGATTACATCTGGCCTTACAGTGAGGCAGGCTCTGTGTTTGTTAAGTGCCGAGTCCTGTCGCGCTGCTTTAAGTTGAGAGAAGAATATACTTGAGATGGAGGAATGTAAAAAGAGGAAAGCTGTTAATCCAAATGTTTATCCGCTGTCACCTGTGACAGCATAATGGCTTGCGCAATATGTGCGCGTGTGTGTTCGTGGATGACATAAAGCTTTCTAAAGACGTGAGTCTGCTGTGGATGTCGCTGAGAAAAGCCTTTTCAAAACTGTCAAGATGGAACTCCAACTCTGTCTCTGAGTGTATTCTGACATGTATTATCGAGGGAAATGTGTGTTTGCTGACAGAAATGCTCACCTAATGGCTTCCACCACTGAGTTTGTATCGAGTCATCAGGCACGTTGGCTTTAAGGAAAACCAAATTGTGTTGTGCACGTTGTAAGTGTATACTGTGATGCAGAGCTGAACCCGAATGGGAAATAAACGTGGCTTGTAGGTAATGCTTTGTATTATCTCCACATAAAGGTCACAGACATATGCTGCTTACCATATTATGCTAATTGCCCCAGTTCCCATGCTGGTGCTATTGGATTACAAACAACACGATTGATAGGCAGTGCCTTGGAGAATGACAATATGTATGATACAAGAATAAATGCAAATGCACAGCAGCGTTTGTGTGAACGTGTGTGTTGACATGATTTGTAATATTTGTGTTTGACACGCGTCAGAAATATGATTCTCCGCCTGCATACGTTGATTTCAAAGCGCGGGGAGGAAGATCACGTCAAGGAGGCGCGTGTCAATCGTCTCTCCCCTCAACCAGCGCCTCGGCAGGCATCTTAATGTCTTTTTTTTTCACATTCAATTTCCTGTGTTTAAATATGACACGCCGGTTTTTGTTTTTCGCTTTCCCTTTACCAAACTGAATATGATAATGTCACTCGGGAATTGCAAGATGAAAAGATTTCCACGGTGCAGTCAGTTTTTTTTTTTGCTGAGGAGATGAATTGAACAGTAGGCTCGGGGTTTGGAACCAATACAGCATGTATTATAATGAAATCATCTTGTTTTTTCTGTTCACAGAAGATATGCTTTGAAAATGGAGTTTGCAAACCAAATTGAATTAGAAATGGTGGATATTTTGTTAGGTATCTCTCCAATTTCACAGTGTGTGTGTGTGTGTACTTACTTCAATGCTGTCGTATTCAGTCCGTAGCTATCAATATGAATGTTGGTTCAAAGCTGTAGACTTCAAAACAAACATTAATTCTGTTTTTTTCTGTTAACTTTTCTGTTCTACCCTTGTGCCACATCAAAAGCTAAACTTGTGGTTGTTGTTTGAGAAGAACAGTTACAGTTGACATATCCAGATCTACTCCTACACTTCTGGTTAAATACCACTTTTGTGATACCACGACCCCGGTACTGAAGTCACGCATCTACATGTAAATGATCTCAGACAGCTGTGACAAAATCCAGTCTTTCTATGCATTCGCTCAATGTGTAAAGTGCTTGAAGGCTGAGCAGGTTTCAGTAACACTCAGGTTTACGGTGTGTGCACCAGAGATGCATTACAACGATCTACAGCACGAGTAAGGACATTGAGCAAAGACGAAAAATCAATTCAAAAAATCTATAAAGTCCTGTCTTTTGGATTACATCTCAGAAATCACATCAATATGACAAGGAGAGCCTACAGTCATTTTCTTTCAGGGTTCTCTCCAGCAGCCTGTTGCAAAATGGTAGTGCAATTGTACATCTAATCAAATGGATTATCTCTTCACAGCTTTGAAAAAGGGGCGTTTCTGGATCACTCCCGACCCCTACCACAATGACGACAACATCCAGATCGGACGAGAAGTCAAGATATCCTGTCAGGTACAGTCACACAGCAAAACGATACACTGCTGCACAGCTCCAGGATCAGTCTAACCTCTGGCCTGCTGGAAATCACACTAGTTATCACATGGTGGAAAAATCACACTTCTTATCACATGGTGGAAAAATCACACTTGTTATCACATGGTGGAAAAATCACACTTGTTATCACATGTGTTAAAGTGTAAATCATTTGTGTAAAATGCGCATCCATGCCAATGTATTGTATTCTCTATATATATAGCACGGTATTATGTTCTATTGCGAAATGAATGTAGTCTTCTGAGCATATATTTATTACATGTTAAAAACACACCTTGAACAATTTGATATCATTTTTACTTATGAAGTTAACATATCATAAGGCAGCAAATATAGCTTGTATATACTTTATTAAGTTTGCTGGCTGTGGTGCAGTGACGCGTCCTAAAACCCAGAAGTAAGTTTCTTCCGGTTCCCTCGACAAAAAAGCAATGCAATTTCTCCATAGGATTTTGGAAAATAGCTCGAAATAAGGTCTGAAAATGATAAAAGTAGGGTAGACATGTGGAGATTATCCGACTGAACAAAACGTGATCCGTCTCTTAAATGTGTGTCAACCACAGACCTTATTTCGAGCTATTTTCCCAAATCCTAAGGAGAAATTGCATTGCATTTTTGTCGAGGGAACCGGACGCAGCTTACTTCCGGGTTTTAGGACGCGTCACTGCACCACTCTATAGCAGGAAGTGGATCAAAACCTTGAGCCAGGGGAGTCCAAACATCGGCCCTCAGCAAATTAAAAAAGTACAGTGAAATATGGCCCACAAATTAAACTTGTGATTGTCTATTGTATTATTGAACTTCTTAAATACATATGTAAAAATATATTACACAGTAGTATTCATGTGTTAATACGCCCACTTTGCAAATAAATTCAGACAATCAAAGTTGGAAACATTTTCTAACCAATCTAAGATGATAAGAAAAAAACCAAACAACTTGTTAACATAACAAGCTTGAAATATACCCTTCATATTTCCCCTTATAATAAGCAATCTGAGGCTTCTGTTTTAAGGAATGAGCTGCAGCACTTTTTGTAACAAAATAAATGAAACCCTCTGGGCAGCTGTGATGTAGGCTGTTTTTTCTTAAGGCATTTTCAAGTATCAAGCATCATTTACCTACATTTGATTGATTTTTCTACCTTACAACTTAACTTATGAGGCAATATACCTCACCTCTAGCGAATGGCCCACTCCTTGGTATATTTTTCTGTATGTGGCCCTCGGTGAAAAAAGTTTGGACACCCCTGCCCTGAGCTCTGCAGTTGGACCATGTCAAATAAACAGCCACATGCATGAAGTCATAGTGAGTAACTCATCAGTGCAGCATAAATGACGTCATGCTGAATGTCCCAGGTGGAGGCGACCCCACCAGAGGAGCTGACCTTTAGCTGGCTGAAGAATGGCCGTGGCCTGCGGAGCTCGGAGCGTATGGTCATCACCCAGACGGACCCCGACATCTCCCCCGGGACCACCAACCTGGACATCATAGACCTCAAGTTCACCGACTTCGGCACCTACACCTGCGTGGCGGCGCTGAAGGGCGGAGGCATCCCTGAGATCAGCATTGACGTCAACATCTCCTCCACAACTGGTGAGCCTCACACCCCTTTGTGTCAGTGACGCATCTACACACCCCACCCCTCAACACCTCTGACACATTTACACACATCTCGAAGCTAATTTAGTCATACACACATGCTTTAGAAGATCATGCAAGATTGAAAATGTCAAATGACGAAGGAGAGATTAAAAAAATCAGGCAGTGTTTCTTACACTGTGGGACGTCAGCTTTTTAAAGGAAACTAAATCAAACAGAAAGTCTAATTTAGTTTTGTTTTTGCTATCAATCCTATCAGTTTATTATTCCAATGGTTTCCAGCTAACCTTTTTTCTTTGTTAAAACTAAGGATTTTAAACTGTATCCATTGCATTGTAAATCAAATTTTTACGACAACGATAAGTCCAGTAGTTCAAAGTTAAACTTGCTATACACTTTCTAATTACAAGTAGAATAAATGATATAGCTTGCTTTAGCGCTAGGTAAGTAGTTTATAAAGTTAAACTTGAACTTAAAAATGATTGTAACATGTCAAATCAACCTGATGTTTCAAGTAGAGTTGCCATGTTCCCAGATTTGAGCAGCCTAAGTTGGTTTTTAAAATATAGGAATGGTAGCAAAAATGTGAAATAAGACTAGCTTGTAGGATGTTTTTGTTTTCCTAAATTGGTCAGTTCATCCAAATCCTTTAGAATGTGTTACCTAAACAATGGAGGAAATGTAGCATTATCTATTGTATTAACAGAATTTAAAAGTTGCAATTTAAGATGTTTTAGGTTATTTTAGAGGGAATTTAATGGTCTTTTCTTTTTTTATAAATATATATATTTCTTGCTTAAGTAGCACAAGCAAAACGTATCCGCCTTTGAAAAGATAAAGAGACAAGATACTGAGTGTGTGATTTGGATGAACAGACCCTTTCAATCACTGTCTGCACAGGATAAGAACGCTTATATGTTTTGACTGCTGTTCACTGCCTCACTAAATTCCAGTAATCTGTCCCATGCCTAAGCCTGTTCTACTCTAATTCCTACTCACAGCACCCAACAATTAATGGTCGATTGGACTTCCTTTGAACCAAATCTGAATCCATCCGTCCGACTAATCAGAGACTAAACATCCATTGTCCTCCCATCTAATTGGCTGCCTCCACCACTGTTCCGACTAACGTTTTGTATACATGTACGCGGCATGTTAATAACACACCATACCAGTCCACCTTGTCTACTGAGCTGCATCATTATAGCTTCAATCGTGGCATGTTGAGTAGTCTCATAGAAAGAGAACAGTGTTCCAGCAGCTGTTCATCGTGTCTTGTCGACATTACATCACTTGTTCCAAAAAGAAGACAAGGCGTAGGTGTTTAAAGAAATCATTCAATCTTTAACAGTTTAATCAAAGGACAAAATCTGCTTTCAAACATCCATTTTCCTTTCCATTGTTTTAGCATCAATCAATGTCAGATGTCATAAGAAAGAAACCAGCTTCACAGGCAACAAAAGAGCCTGACTTACAGTAGATGATTGCTACATAGCACATTGGGTACTGTTAACCATTTGTTCTGCGCGTACTCTCTTCCTGGAGGCTCTGCGATAATGATTGTAAAAGAAACTCATGTAATATGACAGGAATCGTGGTCTTTATCGGTCATTTCCATTGTAAAGTCAATCAAACGGCGGTGGTAATGCTTGGGTGTCACAAGTAATTACTTCATCGTCCATAGCAATAGGATGGGACCCAATTGACCCAGTGTGCCACATTTGGGAATCTCAGATATTCCGTGTGTTGTTGCCACTAGATTGGAGATGAATTGGTTTTCACGTTCGTGTGTTTGTACCTGATAAATTACTTTTGGGTGTGATATTTGCAATTGGGTTCATCGCAATCTTTATTCCACGTTTACCACGCACAAACACACGCACCTTTACCTCCTCTCACGTCTTGTTTTCCTTCCGTGCACACACCTCTCTGCCTCTCACAGCGCGAACATGAAAGCAGTGTGTCGACCTTGGGCGCATAATTATTGTGAGATAATCCTTTGATAATCCCTGCGCTATAAAACAGTGGGATCAATCGCACCTGCCAAGATTGTTTCCTCATTATCTTTTAAGTAGTGCAGTCTCTTCTTTTGGAGTGCCAAGGCGATGGAGTTGCATTAACACAGAACCTTTAATGTGAAACAAAAATGGTGTCTGACTGAGGAAATTACCGAGGAAAATGACTTTTGTGATCATGTGAAATGAAAGGTTTCCTTAAGGCTTGAATGTGAGTGCTTCTTAAGCGTTCATTGTTCCAGTCAGATGTGTTTGTGTGAAATATTATGAAAGTGTTGCATTGTCTTCAAGCTGTTCCTCCTCATTGGAAATAATATATTGAATTGTGCGCTTCCATTAACAATACCTATCGCTTCACTGGGTTGTTTTTCCTGGAGAAGTTCTGTCATGTGAGGCGCTTCTTTCCGTCAGGTTGAGATTGAATCGGAGCAGTGTCTTCACTGAGCGCCACAGTATAGCTGTTGTGAACCAAAGCGTCTTGTGCCTGTGCCTCGCCATACGCCTGCAGCGTGTTTTGGGGTGAATAAGCCCTGTTGTTGTTGTTCCTCTGCCTGTTTTCCTGAAGGGAGAGAGCCCGAGCCTCAATTAGAAGTCTTAATAAAAGCGTTTAGAGGAGATTACACTGCAGGTCTGCCAGGGTTTTTCGTGCTGGGATAGTGGCTGGAAAGCGATTGAGCCTAAAGTGTTTCTCGTCTGAACACTTTGGAGCTCGCTGGCTGTTCCAGCTTTGGCTCCGGTTCCAGATTCCAAACCCGGATTTAGCCCCGGCCGACGGCACCGCTTTTATAAAAGAGAATATTTATCACGTTCCATTCTTTCAACTCAGATTCCAACAGCCTGCATTATTCCACTTTTTTGCAAAACAGGGCTCACATTTACTATCATGGCACGTTTATTAAATATGCAACTTCTTTGCTCGTCGAGGCTAATACTTATTTATGAGCGTGGTCTGGAAACAAGGACACCGACCTCCCCATTGGATACTCTCAGGATTAAGAACAGCATGACACAGGATCAACTGAAAAGAGTTATGAGACTTCTAACTTAGTTGGATAGATACTATCTTATTAATCCTCTCATCATTAGTCTGCATGTTCAATGTGTGTTGTATAGTGGGTGTGTCTTGCTGGATTATTGTGAGATAATAATTGCCATTCTATGGTTATGTGACTTTGGATTGGAGCCACCATTGGGACCACATTAGAGAAAACATCTTTAATAGCATCTACAATGATTACGGTTGGATTCTTGACATTTAAAGCCGATACCCGCTTATTGCAGCTCTAATTACTTCAAACACGTGATTCTACGGAACCTGGCGTCCAGGAAACAACACAACTGCAGCGAGAAGCGGTCTGTCGGTGCAGCGTAGCATCAGCACTGGGCAGCCGCTCATCCTCAGTCTGATTGACGTTCACAAAGTAAGTATTAGGAGTGAAAGTCAACGCTCTCTTCTTGTGAGATAAATCCTCCCGTGATGAGTCCCTCAATTAGCATCCCGCTCACACCTGAGATCCTGGCACCCCCCAGTGTTTCTGTCAATCTAAAGAATCACTGCAGTTAATGAATTAAGCAAATCAATTAAGTGCTCAGTTAATTAAAAATGAGCCAGTTTAATAAACACAAAGTCGTTTATTTATTTTTTTCCTGGTATGAGTTTGAGTCATAGGAAGCTGGCTGCAGGCCGGCTCGTCTCTGTGTATCCTCCTTTCAAATGTCCTGTTGTCTGTTTGACTCTGATTCGTCATGAGCTGCCATCACTCCAGTGACCATGCAACATTTGAGTTTAATAGGGACAGTATGGCCGCTGGCTGCTGGCCGGGCTTGCTTCTGTTGCAAACTCTCTGACCCCGATAAAGAGAAACCTGGACTGCATCCTGACTCACCTACGGGGTGCAAAGGTTCAACTGCTGTCTGGTCACAGTGGGTGGAAAACAAATTGTTTGCTGCCTTTTTTTTCCCTCCATGCTTTATACTCATGTAGTTTTCACAAACGGTGGTTCTTTGTTGATGTCAGTCACATGGTCATTTTCTTTTATTGCTTTTTGAAAATGTGTTTTTGTGTTCAGTAGGAAATCCAGCTGGTCCAGCAATTGGCGGTATACACACTTAAAGCTAATCCCTGCCTCCTTAGTTACTGTTGCTATGCACGGCATGCATGCACTTAAAGAAAAACAGAGGCAGATTTTAAACTCAGCATTCTGAGCAATTTCTGAAACAATGGGTCCTTGATTTCACACTGAGGGAGACAAAAGCAGGCTTCTCATTTAGCAACCACTGAAATGACATATGTTCCTGATTGTGTCAGCTTGTAGCTCGCTTATTTATTTAGCCAGCACTTGCTCTCGCAGTTGACTTTTCTGCGTTTCCGTCTAAAGCAGGAATCAGTTTCTACAGCATCTTTTTGGGGTACATTTGGAGACAAACAAGAATTATTATTTTTGTTGGTGTGTGTCTCAGGTTGAGTTGTCGTTGCTGGAGTGTACACTTCCCAAAAAATCAAATGTTCGAATGAATTGATTCATTCCTTACAGTTTTGCTACAGAGGTTAAAAAAGACACCAACTTTGAATTGTTTTCAAAGTGTAGAATATCTATCTAACTACATATGCCTGAACATGCATATAAATCCAGAGTTTGACAGGGTTGTTGTGTCTAGATTTCCCTCAAGCTATCAATGGAATAATCACTGATCAGGGCAGCAAATGGTCAGTTCGGTGGCATATTAGTCCATAATGAGTTTTCCTGAAACACAGTGAATAGGACATCACTATCTATCCCCTCAACATTGAAAAGATGATCCAATCCATTAATTGAAGCATATAAAAAGCAGAAAGATAATGAGAAAAGTACTGCATTTTTGCAATCACACCTTAAAACCTCAAATAAAATGTCTCTGATCACTCTCAAATGCTAAATTAGGTTAAGAACGGCAAACTGAGCTAAAAAATAATATCATCTTGGAGCAGTGTTTTCCAGT